CTCACAGGGGAACTGGGTGAGAGTGGGTCAGCTTTCAGCTATGGCAGAGGGATGGATGGATGGAGGGATGGATGGGCCGATGGATCAGCAAATGATTGAACACACAAAGAAATAACTAGCTACACTTAGTGTCTCTGGGGAAAGACACGTTTGAAGGGACTTAGGAGGGGGCTCTGGAGCGATTTTTGTGAGGAAAACAACACACCCAGAATGTTCCCACGCAGTCACAGGCAAACCCACATGCACTTTCTCACTCGCAGGCACACGCTCACTCTTTCTGAGTTCATCTCTAAGGTACCACGTAGGAAGGTAGAAGGCCCCCCTGCTGGTTCCAAGGGCCAGGACCTTGGTGCACCAGGAGGGATTCCGGCTGAGGACACCAAAGTCTGTGCCCGAGGGCTCGGGTTTTGAAATTCTCCCCGGGGTGGCCAGGAAAAGGTTAAATAATGAGGCCATAATTAAACAGGTCATAAAAGCATGGGGTGGGTAGATGGCAAGAAGCAACGCTCAAAGAAAGCTTTCTGGAACATGGCAGGGTTGGTTTTTGTTTTGTCTTTTTGCATTGAGAACAGCAATTTGCGTTGAGAGCAGCTCAGAAGTTACTGGAGAATATTGTAATTGCCATTGTACCTGTCTTGGTGTTGACACCCCGCCCCAAGTATCTTGCTTCTCTTGGTTTCCTCCTTGTGTCTAAGCCTGGAATGGGAGGATTGGGGGAGAAGTAAAAGGATTGCAGACACCCTCTGGGTGCAAGCAGGCAGCTTCAGGGTGCAGGGCACCAGAGTAGCCTGCTAGCTTGGAACAGCTTAGCAAAAATGCGCCTCTAAGACCCTGGACTGGACCACGTGGCATTTTCATTCATTCGTTCAATGCACATTTTATGAGTGCCTAGGATGTGCCAAGCCCTGCGGTGAACAAGGCAGGTCTGGCCCCTACTCTGAGAGAAATCACTGTTCTTGTGCAGCTCGGGAGAGGCCAGCACGCTCTTAATTTTGTCTCTTGATTCATGAAGAGGGGGAGGGAGAGCAACCGGTTGTCCTTGGCTAGAGGAAACGAAAGACGCTGGGAACTGCCTCACTGAGCAGTGGAAGGAACCCAGGCTTTACTATTTTATTCCATAAATATTTGTGGGGTGCCAGGCGGGGCAGAGGCTTCCCTCTCGAAACCTCGGACTACTGAGGTGGAGACGAACACCGAGCGGGCCACCAGACAACCATGAAGTCCAGGATGGAGATGCGGCCCCAACTGGGAGAGATGGGAAGTCTTTCTGGAGGAAGAGACTCTACGCTGAACACCAAGTTATTGGCAAGACAAAAGCGCAGGGATGAGATTGGGGGATTCCAGAACTTGGCAGATTCTAAGAACTAAAACAAACTTGGGCTGAACAGGAGCATTTGGGATGATGGCAGGCTCACTCACTGTTTGCTCTCCGAGGTTGGAAAATTAGTTCGTTTCTCTGAGTTTCAGTCTACCCATCTGGAAAATGGGTAAGACAAGGCAAGCATCACCAGATAGTTGGGGTGGCCCAAGGGAATGACCTGTGGATGGCTTCTGGCACAACAGGCACTCAATATCTATAAGATTCTCATTTGGCTTAGGTCTGTGAGCCAGAGAGGCGCGGGTCCCCATGGGCGGCGGGGGAAGGGTTCGGGCCTGCGCACCCCTGGCCGCGGTTTGCAGAATATCTTTATTAACGAGCACTTCAAGGTAAGCCGCGATGGAAACCAGATGTGGGATCGCGCAGTCGGCGGCAGAGCAAGGAGCAGAGATACCAAGGGAGAGGGGTGGGGGTGAGGATTAGCTAGGTTGAGGTTGGGGGTAGAAGCACGAGCCCCCCCCCCCAGATATTTTTTCTTAGGGAGACCTTTTAGGTGCAGAAGATTGACTTCTGACCCACATTCCTGGGTTCGGGGCGCTCAGGCCCTCTCTCATTTTACTCTGCCCCTTCACCTTTCACCGCACTCCCAGCCTCCCTTGAGATACGTCCTCTATCCACGGATTTTTCCCTGCAGTTTATCGAGGGCTGCTCTGACTGGTCTCCTTCAAACTGAGTCATTCGGCAGTCAGAGATCCGTTTCCTCTGTTCTGTGCGTTTTCGTTGTCAGCAGCACCATCCCAGATCCGCGGAGGGACTAACCTCAGCCTGGGTTTCAAGGCAGGCGCTGCTACTTCCGGCTGTGTGACCTCAGCCAGGTGACCGCACCTCTCTGAGCCTCGGTTTGCTCATTGGAAAATTTGGGGACCCCGATTTCCACCACTCACGGTTGTTGTGAGGTGCAGTTGATGATTAGCCATGTGGAAAGGACTCGACGCGCTGTAAACGTTCTTTTCCCTGGGGCGCACACAACCCATCAAATCCAAGCCATTAGGTTTACAGTCGGGGACAGAGAGGCCAGAGATCAGAGACTGCCTCACCCCCACCCGAGCAGTGAGCAGGTGACAGCGTGACGAGGCGCGGCCAGCTGGTCTCCCAACTCGACATTCTCAGGTGTGCCAGGCAGAAAATCCCCTCGGCCGGGCGGAGACCTACCTGAGGCACACGCGGCTCCTTCCCAGGAGGGGAGAGGTGCGGGGAGGGGGCCGCGTTCTAAAGCTTCGGAAACTGCCCCAGCCTGGGGGTTCTCCAGTGTCTGAGTGAACACGGGCCCCTCCTCACCCCTACCCAGTGCCCTTACAGGAAAGGGAAATAGTTAACGAGACGTGAAAGTGGCCGTGCACAGGATGACTGCTGCGCGTGTGTGTTAATTTCATGGAGGAACCGAGAATAGGGAAAAGGGGTTGGAAACAGAGGAAAAGGCACCAGTGGGAACACTCGCAGCTGCACCGCCAAATTCGCACGCAAGTGTACAAACGACTTGCCTGCACCCGGACGCTAGCGGCCCATCAGACTCCGAATGTCGAAACCTGTTAGGTTTTTTGGTTTTGTCTTTTTATATTTTTTTAAATCTGTCACTAAAGTTCTGCATACCCCCCTCCCCTAGGCCAAAGCTTGGACCCACCAATTCTCAGCCTAGGCTCGGGAGCCCGGGGAGTCCAGACACCTCCCTGGCCCCGCCTTGAATCGAAAAGGCCTTTGGGCGGCTCTTGGTAGAATCCCCTCCGAGCGGCGAGCGAGCTAGTAGCATCTCCTTAAGGGGCGCGGGGGGGGGAGCGGTTAGTGGTGGAAGGAGAGTAGGGAGAGAGGAGAAGAGGGAGAGGAGGGGGAAAAGAAGCAAGAAAAAAAAATTCACTCTATTTTTCCGCTTCAAAATCTTAAGAGGGTTTGGGAGATCTGGTCAACTTTCCGAAACATCTGAATCTTTTTACAGCCCTCGGTTCTTTCCCTGGGCCAGCTGTGGGGAGGGAGAAGGGAGAGAGAGGAGGGGGTGAGAGGAGAGAGAGAGAGAGAGAGAGAGAGAGAGAGGCGTGGAGCGGAGGAGGGGGGAGAGCGAGCAGGCCGGCGCGGAGCGCACAGCCACCGCCTCCTTGCCTCTCCAAACTCCCAGCCAAGGCGCGCGGTGGCGTCCTCGCGCTCTCGCTCGCGCCCCCGCCCGTCGCCCGCCCAAGCCAGGCATGAATGCTGAGACTTGCGTCTCTTACTGCGAGTCGCCGGCTGCTGCCATGGACGCCTACTACAGCCCGGTGTCGCAGAGCCGGGAGGGCTCGTCGCCTTTTAGGGCATACCCCGGCGGTGATAAGTTCAGCACAACTTTCCTGTCGGCTGCCGCCAAAGGGCAGGGATTCGGGGACGCCAAGAGCCGCGCCCGCTACGGCGCGGGGCAGCAGGACCTGGCGGCACCCCTGGAGAGTGGCGCCGGAGCGCGGGGCTCCTTTAACAAGTTCCAGCCCCAGTCGCCCGCCCCGCAGCCGCCGCCGCCGCCGCAGCCGCAGCCGCCGCCGCAGCCACCCGCGCAGCAACCGCATCTCTACTTGCAGCGAGGCGCCTGCAAGACGCCCCCGGACGGCAGCCTCAAACTCCAGGAAGGCGGCGGCGGCCACAACGCGGCCTTGCAGGTCCCCTGCTACGGTGAGTGCACGTGCGGATCCCTCGGGCTGGGGTCCCCAGGACCCAGGGCTTCGGCACCTTCAAAACCCGTTCGGCTTGCGGGAGGCAGGAGTTGGCGGGCTGGGGAGGCGCGGGGCCGAGCTGCGTGTGACTTCGGGCAGGAAAATGGGGATCGACCGCTCCGAGGAGACCAAGGGATCCCTCCTGCCCCCTTCAGATCGCTCGGCGGAGGGTGCGGAGCGTCGGCTATTAAACTCAACCTGGAGTCTGTTTCTCCCCTCTTCGCCGTTCCCCCAAACCACTTGCTTTGCGCTGCCCGCCGGGCCGACTTTGAAGCGGATGCTTCGCACCGGCTCAAGGCGTGCGGCGGGAAACAGTCGCAGCGCAGCGCAGCGCAGCGCTCGGGCGCTAGGCTCCGGGGCTGCCGAGGCCTCGCTCCTCGCCGGCTAAGGGGGCTCCTCGGGCGGCGCCGCAGGTGGGAGCGTCGCAGGTGCGGAGCCCGGCCGGGAGCCAGGAGCGCAGTCGGCGGAGCGCGCCCGGGATGCCGTGGAACCGGGTCGCCACACGCGTGCGGGTCCAGAGACGCCTGAGGCCGCGGAAGGCCCGAGTCGAGGTGGTTCGCGGCGGGCAGGCGGGCCGACCAGAGTTCCCGAGCGTTTCTCTTTCGGCGATCCCCAGAGGCGGCCGGCCTCGGAACAATGGTTTAGGACCGACCGGCTGGGAAAGCCACAGAGTTCCAGGCGGCGCAGTGCTGGGCAAGAGGGAAGGCTCTGGGTCCTGATTTGGGCCCACGGGGAACCTGACGCCTAAATGACCTCCAAGCCCCCTTGAAGGCGGCCTCAGAACGCAGGCCTGGGCCCCGAAGCGCCGCAACCGACCGTAGGAGAGAGAGAGAGAGAGAGAGAGAGAGAGGCGTGGAGCGGAGGAGGGGGGAGAGCGAGCAGGCCGGCGCGGAGCGCACAGCCACCGCCTCCTTGCCTCTCCAAACTCCCAGCCAAGGCGCGCGGTGGCGTCCTCGCGCTCTCGCTCGCGCCCCCGCCCGTCGCCCGCCCAAGCCAGGCATGAATGCTGAGACTTGCGTCTCTTACTGCGAGTCGCCGGCTGCTGCCATGGACGCCTACTACAGCCCGGTGTCGCAGAGCCGGGAGGGCTCGTCGCCTTTTAGGGCATACCCCGGCGGTGATAAGTTCAGCACAACTTTCCTGTCGGCTGCCGCCAAAGGGCAGGGATTCGGGGACGCCAAGAGCCGCGCCCGCTACGGCGCGGGGCAGCAGGACCTGGCGGCACCCCTGGAGAGTGGCGCCGGAGCGCGGGGCTCCTTTAACAAGTTCCAGCCCCAGTCGCCCGCCCCGCAGCCGCCGCCGCCGCCGCAGCCGCAGCCGCCGCCGCAGCCACCCGCGCAGCAACCGCATCTCTACTTGCAGCGAGGCGCCTGCAAGACGCCCCCGGACGGCAGCCTCAAACTCCAGGAAGGCGGCGGCGGCCACAACGCGGCCTTGCAGGTCCCCTGCTACGGTGAGTGCACGTGCGGATCCCTCGGGCTGGGGTCCCCAGGACCCAGGGCTTCGGCACCTTCAAAACCCGTTCGGCTTGCGGGAGGCAGGAGTTGGCGGGCTGGGGAGGCGCGGGGCCGAGCTGCGTGTGACTTCGGGCAGGAAAATGGGGATCGACCGCTCCGAGGAGACCAAGGGATCCCTCCTGCCCCCTTCAGATCGCTCGGCGGAGGGTGCGGAGCGTCGGCTATTAAACTCAACCTGGAGTCTGTTTCTCCCCTCTTCGCCGTTCCCCCAAACCACTTGCTTTGCGCTGCCCGCCGGGCCGACTTTGAAGCGGATGCTTCGCACCGGCTCAAGGCGTGCGGCGGGAAACAGTCGCAGCGCAGCGCAGCGCAGCGCTCGGGCGCTAGGCTCCGGGGCTGCCGAGGCCTCGCTCCTCGCCGGCTAAGGGGGCTCCTCGGGCGGCGCCGCAGGTGGGAGCGTCGCAGGTGCGGAGCCCGGCCGGGAGCCAGGAGCGCAGTCGGCGGAGCGCGCCCGGGATGCCGTGGAACCGGGTCGCCACACGCGTGCGGGTCCAGAGACGCCTGAGGCCGCGGAAGGCCCGAGTCGAGGTGGTTCGCGGCGGGCAGGCGGGCCGACCAGAGTTCCCGAGCGTTTCTCTTTCGGCGATCCCCAGAGGCGGCCGGCCTCGGAACAATGGTTTAGGACCGACCGGCTGGGAAAGCCACAGAGTTCCAGGCGGCGCAGTGCTGGGCAAGAGGGAAGGCTCTGGGTCCTGATTTGGGCCCACGGGGAACCTGACGCCTAAATGACCTCCAAGCCCCCTTGAAGGCGGCCTCAGAACGCAGGCCTGGGCCCCGAAGCGCCGCAACCGACCGTAGTGGAGGAGAGAGCCTCTCAAGGGTGGCCTGAGGCCAGAGCAGCTGAGGAGCCTGGGCCTTCTCTCCCACAGAATCGGCATTGGTGAGCCCCAAGCTGGCAGGGACAGAAACTGAGAAGGGAGGGAAAAATCCCTGGGCTAGGAGCCCTGGGTACACACTCTCCCCCTGGGGCCTTGGCCTTCAGGCAGGGCCCCGGAAATGAGCTGGTTCTGACAGGACAGTGGCTTTGTCTGCACAGATTCAGGCCCGATGGAGAGACACCAGGCCTGGGGACAGAGGTGGGACATGGTGGAGGCCTTGGCGACTGGAATAACCTTACGAAACAACGCATGGCAAACGCTTTCTTACACTCAGCCTGGATCTGGCTCCCCACAGGCTCAGAATTAGTCCACTAAGTGGTCGTTGACACGCACAAACATTCACACATACACTTGACTACACTTGGACTCTACACATATACACACAGCCACTTCCTCGTGAGCAGCGCGTTCACACACACACACCAAGTATGCTCATGTGGCTTCGCACAGAGCCACACACTCTCAAATCCACAGGACACACTGAGCAGATTTAGAGAGATCCGGTGGCTTTCCCCACCTCCTCCACCTTTCCTCTCCACCTTCCTGTTGGAATGAGATCAGGCACTCGGATCACAGACACTCACAGCTCCACACAGGTGCTCCTTCCACACTCAGGTGGAGAGGGTCTCTCGCCCTGTCCACATGCAGCAGCCTGCCAGCCCCGGGGATCAGGCTCCCTCCTCCTGGCCTCGCCCAGGCCCCTCCTGGTCCCTGTCCTTTGGGAATGTTAGGTGTGAGCAAGTCGCGGACTGAGGGACCCGTGGAGGTTCGCTGTGCGGAGCCAGGGGACTCGCATATTTTCTCTCCCACCGCACTGATTTTTCATGTGTTAGAGAAATTCACCAGTGAGGCTTCTGAGGAGGCTGAGTTAATTAGACAAGGAGAGATCCTGAGCTGCTTTCAACCTCTCACTTGGAAATGTCTTGAGGTTCAGAGGGAAAAGGGAAAGA